CCAGTTAGTTCTCTCCCTACATCTCTTTTCTCTATTTCTCTCTATTTCTCTCTCTCTCTCTCTCTCTCTCTCTCTCTCTCTCTCTCTCTCTGACTCATGCTTTTGTGCAGACGTATCCTCTCAACTACTACTCCAGTGTATTGGCCTGCTGCTATGCTCCTTGCCGTGACGGTCATAAACTCTAACCCTCTGGAACTGTGAGTCCCTGAATTAAATGCTTTCTTTTATAAATTGTCCTGGTCATTGTTTTTTCTCCCCCATGGCAATAGAAAAGTAACTATGTTAGAAATTGGTACGAGGGAGTGACATATTGCTGTGACAGGTCTGACCATGCTAGGGTCTTTATTTTTATTTTTCGAGGAATATGGAAGGCTTTGCGACTTTGGACTAGGAAAGTGACTCAACACTGTAAACTGAGATTAATGGGTCATTCAGAGGGGAACAAGTGTTGGGGAAGGCGTTTTGTCGTACCCAGCTGCCCAGACTCGAAATAAGTACACAGAAACTGTATTAATTAAACCACTGTTTGGCCTAGAAGTCAGACACTAGAGTTCTTACCTGTACCAATACTCAGACCAAAGGGGCGAGCCTGTTCTCAGACTGCCTCCTCAGACTGCATCCTCAGACTACATCCTCAGACTTAATTGCTTCAGACTGCTGCCTCAGACTGCATCTGAGCCCCTGTGTTCTCCTGCCTTATAATCCTCTCTCCGCCCAGCCACATTTCTTCCCATCTCCACCTCCCTGGTGCTGGGATTGAAGGTGTGAGCCATCACCCCTGACTCTGTTTCTCTTTGAGACTGGATCAATCTAGTGTAGCCCAAGGTGGCCTTCAACTCACAGAGCTCTGTCTGCCTCTGTCTCGTGAGTCTTAGGATTAAAGGTGTGAGCCACCACCACCAGGCCTCTAGTGGCTTAGCTTTGCACGTTGATCTTCAGGCAAGCTTTATTTGTTAAACACAAACAAAATATCACCACAGGATCAATACCCAAGGTTGACCTATGACCAACACAGACAGACTATAGATAGCATTCTTACACCTACACACATACTATAAAAATAAAAATTTCTAGTCAGATGCCACAATTTCCTTAAGGAACATAAGAAGAAAAAAGCAAATTAAATTCAATAATTCAATAGAAGTGAACAAACTAGAGATATGGGGCCATTGACAAGCCAAAAATTACACAGAGAGAAATGAGAAACCAAACACAGTCTTTGAGAAGGTAAATAAAATTGACAAAAGTCAGATTGATTAAGGGGAAAAAAAAGAAAAGAAAAGAGAATTCACTAACTACCAAGAGCAGGAGTGAACGAGAGAACTCGGGTCTTGCAGACAGCAGTAGACACACATCTAGGCAACAGAGGGCAACGTTGTGCCCTAAGAGCGTCAGCTTAGCTGGTGTAGGTTTATTTCTTGAAAGACACACACTAGCAAGTTTTACATAGGAAGAAATAGTTAAGCATAATAGCCCCACATCTACTCAGGAGATTGAATTTGTGGCTGTGCTGATTAGTTTTTTTAAAAATGTTATTTATTTTTATTTTTATTTTTTATTGTCAGCCTGACACAAGCTAGAGTCTCCTGGGAAGAGGAAACCTCAGCTGAGAAAATGCCTCCATCAGACTGGCCTGTTGGCAAGTATGTAGGACACTTTTCTTCCTTTCTTCTTTATTTTTTCTTCCTTCCTTTCTTCTCTCCCTCCCTCCTTCCTTCCTTCTTTTTTTTTTCTTGTTTGTCTTCTTTTGTTTTTTGAGATAGGGTTTCACTATATAGCTCTAGCTGTCCTGGAACTCACTATGCAGACCAGGCTAGCCTTGAACTCACAGAGATCTACCTGCCTCTGCTTCCCCGGTGCTGGGAATAAAGGTGTACACCACCACTTGCTGTCGGGCATGTCTTAATTAGTGATTTATGTGAGAGGGCCCAGCCCACGGTGTGAGGTGCCACCACCCCAAACAGGTGGTTCTCTATTGTATAAGAAAGCATGCTGAACCACAGGCAGCAGCCTTCCTCCATGGCCTCTGCCCCAGTTCCTGCTTCCAGGTTCCTACCTTGAGTTCTCCTCTGACTTCTCTCCGTGATGAATTGTAAACTCTAAGATGAAATAAACCCTTTCCTCCCCAAGTTGCTTTTGGTCATGGTTTTTATCACAGCAGCATAAAGCAAGGGTAAAACTTTCCAACAAAGAAAACTCCGAGTCTGTGTGGCCCATGTCAGTGAATTCTACTCAATAGTTAAGGAAAAAATGAAACCAACCTATACAAACTTATCCAGAAAACCTTGAAAAGGACGCAACCTTCCCAGCTCTCTTTATGAACCAGCGTTGCTCAGATGTCAAAACCAGATGGACCCCAGTATTCTGTGCCTCATGGATGTGGATGCAAGAATTCTAAAAGAAAATTCAGCCAATCCAAACCAACCTATACAGCAATGTTTGTCCTTGGAATGAAAAGTTGATTTAACATCTAAAAAAATGGACTTGACTGGGGCTGACAGACAGCTCAGCAGCTAAGAGCACTGGCTGCTCTTATAGAGGACCAGGGTTTGCTTCTCAGCATCCACATGGCGGCTCACCACCATCTGTAATTCCAGCCCCAGGAGATCCATTCCCTCTTTTGGCCACCAAGGGCATTGAACATACATGGTGCAAACACATACAGAGAGGCAAAACATTTATCAACATAAAATAAAATAAATAAGTTAAAGGAAAAAAAAAGGAACTTGACCTCTAGAAACTTTCAGGTTCGTTGTACTGTGAATGGCATCTTGTCCAGGTTCCATCTTTCTAGGTGCCTCCATCACCTTCTGGAACTTGTGTCTCTGGTTGTTTATTTCTTTCAAAGGGTTGGTACAGCGGCTCTTTCCGAAGCAGGTATCTGTAGCCTGCCTTAGAGAAGTGTGCCTGAGCTTATTTTTATCCCAGCTGTATGTAAATACTGGTTACAGTCCATAAAATCCCATGCCTGGGCTAGGGAAGTGGTCAGTCAGCAAAATACTCACATAAACATGAGGACCTGAGTTTGATGCCCAGCACCAATGCAAAAGCCAGATATATAATCCCAGTGCTGGGAGGCCCAAACAGGAGGATCCCTGAGGCTGGCTGACCAGCCAGCCTAGCCTGATCAGTGAACTCCAGGCCCAGAGAGAGACCCAATTTAAAAAAAAAAAAAAAAAAAGAGGAAAGTCATTAAGGAGAAATCCACGGACCTCTAGCCTCCACATGCACAGAGGCTCTCTCTCTCTCTCTCTCTCTCACACACACACACACACACACACACACACACACACACACACACTCACACAGTGTCCAAAGATATTTCTCTTTAGAGCTATAGAACTTACTTTTCTCACATTTAGCAGTGTGTGTGTGTGTGTGTGTGTACGTGTGTGTGTGTGTATACATGTGGAGACTGAATGTTGATGTTAGGTATCATCCTCAATCGCTCTTCCACTTTATTATTTGAGGCATGGTCTCTCTATGGAACCGGCGCTTACAGATAGAACTAGTCTTGCTTCCTTCCTTCCTCGGGTGAAATTGCTGGCGGCTACTGTGCCCATCCCGCAGCTCTGTGAGGTCTGGATGTCTCGGGCTTGCCAGGCAAGCACTTTAACAGCTGAGCCAGCTCCATTTTCAAAAATTGCATTTTGAGCCAGGCACGGTGGCACATGCCTTTAATCTCAGCACTCTGAGAGGCAGAGGCAGGTGGACCTCTCTGAGTTCAAGGACAACCTGGTCTACAGAGTGAGTTTCTACATAGAGAAACCCTATCTCAAAAAAAAAAAAGCCAAAAAAAATTATTTGTGTGTGTGCTGTGTGTGTGCACAAGCGCATGCATGCACAAACATATGTGTGCAGAGAGGACAGAGCACAGCTTTCAGGGCTCAATTTTCCTTTTCCACTTGGAGGTTTCAGGCGTTAACTCAGGCCATCAGGACTGGTAAGCCCTCTTACATGCTGACCCATCTCATAGGTCCTCTAAAATTACCATTTTCTGATAAAAAGGAAGCGTTCTTTAGAGTGAGGGCCATTCCACCACCAGGCATAAAGCACCCGAGATGACCATCTCATGTCAGAAAGCAAGTCAGCACTTGGAGGCGCTGGGCACTTGTCAACATGACACAGGAGCCAGCTTCAAGGGATAGCACCGCTTGCCACACTAGGGACACCTGAAATGTTAGAATCAGGGTAAATGGCTGTGACTATTTCAACAGTTGGCAGTGGGTCCATTTTAAAGGTCATTTATTATTCACTTTGCTGTGGGGAAGAAAAAAAACTGGGGTTTTTTGTTTTGTTTTGTTTTTGTTTGTTTTGCAGCAGAATGTCAACTGATAAACGTACAGGAAAGGCTGGGGTTAGAAGGCCATCTCTTAGCAACACCATAATAATGAAGTCGGCCCAAGTGGGTAACAAGGAGGTTTTAATGGGACAGTTAGGTGGCTTCAGCTTCCCTCTCACCGTGGGTGGGTTTACAAGGGAAAAGAGGGCACTATCCTGGAGAAAACTCCTGGGTACAACTTTTAGCCAGTGCTCAGTCAGTTCTGCCTGTGCTTCTTTTCTGACAGTGATGACAAGAGCAGGCCACACGTGCCGGTCCACTTCCAACACTTGAAAACAGGACGTGATCTCACCCAGGTGAAGCAAGAGTCTCCCTGCGGCATCAGCAGCAGGAAGCCAGTGAGGCCTGAAGCAACCAGGGACCTGAGCCGTTTCATTGAGCTGAGGGCTCCTGAGGTGGGAGATACCTGGGGGGGAAGGGAGGAGGAAGGAGTGGAAGAGGGGATGGAAGGGGAGGAGGAGAGGAGAGAGGGAGGGAGAACAGGGAGGAGGAGGAGGAGGGGGAGAAAAGGAGAGAAAAACAAACAAGGGAGGAGGAGAATGGGAAAAGGAGAGAGCAAAAGAAAGAGAGAGAAAGAAACAAAGAGAGAGAGAGAGAGAGAGAGAGAGAGAGAGAGAGAGAGAGAGAAGAGGGATGGAGACAAACAGATGAGGGAGAAAGGAGAGAGACAGAGATGGGGGAAGGAGGAGAAAAGAGCAGGGACAGAGGAGGGGAGAGAGTGAGAGAGGTAAGGGAAAGACAAAGACAGAGACAGCGTGTTCTGCAGGTCCCAGGGGAGGGCTTTGAGACACTGGCAGAATACTGGTCCCCACATGGATATGTGGTCTGGATACGGGTCACCATAAAACTGTTAACAGTTAAAATGGAGGGAGAGGCCTCAGAAGTCTCTCAAACCTTGACGTCAGATGAACCTTGACCTTCAGCAGCTCCACTAACTCAATGATCCGCAATAAGACTCTTTCATAGGAGGAATGGGTTGGGGTCCTGTGGCTTGGGTATGGCTTGAATCACCCCCAAGCTTCCTGTGTTAGAGGTTTGGTCTTCAGTGTGGCTCTGTCAGAGGTCCTGGGTCCTTTAAGAGTCAGTAGTAGTAGTAGCCTGGCAGCGGTGGCACATGCCTTTAATTCCAGCATTCAGGAGGCAGAGGCAGGTGAATCTCTGAGTTTGAGGCCAGCCTGGTTTACAAGAGCTAGTTCCAGGACAAGATCCAAAAGCTACAGAGATACCCTGCCTCGAAAAACTAAGGAAAAAAAAAAGAGTCAACAATAGTAAGTGAGAGACCAGGTTTCTGGAGGCAACATTCTAGGGAGAGATTAAATAGATGAAATAGTATGCAAGGGCCCCAGTTGGTTACCAAAGAGGACTGGTGCAAAAACAAACAAACAAAAAAAGCAAAAGCAAAAACAAAAACAACAAAAAAACTAAGATAAGCCAGATCAGGTAAAGTGCTTGTCCCACAAGCATGCAGACCTGAGTTCTGTATCTGATGGCCACATAGGAAACCAGGCACGGTGTTCTGTGCTTGTAATCCCAGAGCTGGGGAGACAGGTGGAGCCCTGGGGCTCGCTGGCCAGACAATCTGGTCTTATCTTCAACTTCTGGGTTGCAGTAAGGCACCCTGACTCAAAACACAAGGTGACTGGCTCCTGAGGAATGGCAGCAGAGACTGACCTCTGACCTCTACAGGCAATCGCACAAACAGGCACCTAACACACACCAACGTGTGCGTACTTGCTTACACACAACAAAGCAACTCTGACCCCTCCCCACTCTCTTACACCTACAGCCATGGTGACACCATCATCACGAGTTCATCACCAAAGCCAAGCTGAGACAGCTATCATGCTTTGAACCTATACAAATCTCTTTTCTTCACACTTTCCCCAGCTTCAGAAGTTTTGATATAGTGAGAAAAAAATGGGTCAAGACAGGGTTTGACACTTGTCCTAGACAGAAGTGAACACAGGTGACTGCTACCCAGGGACTCATCTGCATTTGACACACCCTGTAATGGAATGTGCCCCATCCCCAGATTCCTTAGCTTGGACTTGCTCCCAATGTGTTCTGGCTTGAAGGTGATCTGAGTGTGTCCCCACAAGTCTGTGTTCTGGAAGTTGAGTCCCCAGAATGGCAGGGCTGAGGCCTTGCAGAGGTGGCTCTGTTCCTGGAGGCACCCACCTCAGAAGCATTAATGCCAGTCTCAATCTCGGCTTGCGTATGTGGTTGTGAAGGGAGGCAGCTTGTCCTGAGTCGTCCGGCATCCTATCTCACTGTGGGTGCTCTCCTGCATACCTGATGAGACACCGCCAGGACACACTGGTCATCCAGGGGTTGACTGAGCAAATAGGAGGCAGCCACTGAAATTCCAGTGGAAAACTGGAGACCCCTCGGCATTCCATGACATTTAAACCCACTGGAGCTGATTCTATCCTTAAAGGAGAGAGAAGAAGAAACGGAAAGGCAGCTGAAGGAAACCCTGTGTTTCTACAAGTGCAACAGTGATCTAAACGAACCCCTTTCGATTATAAAATACCCGCCCTTGGAATCTTGTTATAGCTTCAGGAAGCAGACCAAGATGAACTGTCTACATCCTTCACGTCTCTGTTGCATGCATGTGACTTTCATGCTTAGGCATCGTAACAAATGTGTCATGAGTCTCTCGGTCATTCTGTCTAGCCTCGGTTTTATTTCATAGACTAAAACAATGAAACCTTCAGAGGTCTCATCTGTCCATGGGGTGATTCTAAGATGAGAGTGGCCAGGTGAAGGAGGCAAGGCTAGGGGCTAACTTGTGGGCTATGCCTCTTATTCGATCAGGACCCTCTGCCTGCTGACATATGGAGTTTCTAGTTTGCCCTGCTCTCCCCAGCCATCATGGCTGCTGCTACACATTCCTTTGGTGAAAGGGTCAGCAATGACTACTACAAGGCCACTGGTGGGGCTTCGGGGTGGGGAGTAGTGACACTTCCTCCAACTACAGGCCCCTGTCATTGCCTCTGGCCATTCATCATCGTGTACATGCATGTACATCCACGTGCACATCAGCCACAGTGCAGTGCAAAACAAGGACAGTACAGTGCACACACATGGGCCCCACCTATCCACATGTATACACACATGTAAAAAGATGTGTGTGTGCCACACACACACACACACACACACACACCCTTCAAACACGCAGACAGGTTTGCAGTTATAAATATACATGTGCTTGGGCACATACACATGAAATCAGGCAGAAATGCATACATGTATAAAAGCACGCATATATTTATAAATTCCGACACACATACACATGCACATACACATGTGTGAAGTGCAGAAACGCTTACACATGTGTGCACATGAACATGAAGGCATGGATATATGAATGAACACACACCCACACCAACACAGTCTTTAGTATTTGGTTGGTTGCAGGCTTTTCTTCAGATCCCTGAGAGGCAGGATCTACAGTACTAATTGGGGGATAGAAACACAGTCTGGGCAAGCTCACCATGCTGGCTACTAATGCCAGCTCAAAATGGTCATACTAGCTGTTACACAGATAGATTAGGTGAGGGAGGGACGGACCAGTAAGTGTGGAAGAAGATTTCTGGGGGAAGGTGAGCAGAAATGATGGCCCACACAGGCAAGGGGGAAGGTGTGGAGCACAGAATATTCCAGACACTGCTCAGGGAAAGAAGTCTACCACAGAGACATGATGTAGGATCCCTCTCCTGAGGTCCCTGGAGACCTCAGATCCACAGAAGCAGAAAATAGGGTGGAATGATGGGTGCTGAGGAGGGACAGAGAGTCCGTGTTTCGGGGGGGAAGAGCTTCTGTTTGGGAAGATGCAAGCAGGAGGTGAACACCGCCAAGCTGTCATTTAGACAGTGCAGTGTTGTACACTTTACCACAGTGTGTGCAGGTTGTACACAGGCGTGTCTGTAGAGGCTGCTAGGACTGGATTGGGTCTCTGCTGACCTCAGGCTTCTGCTGTAGTCTGCAGATGAGATGGGAGAGGATGAGGACGGGAAGGGAGCATGGGGAGCATGAGACTAGGGTCCATGGAGCTGGTATTGCTATCGAAGAAGCAAGGAGAGGAGAAAAGGCAGCTTGAGGATTTTCCTTATTTCTGCAAGAACAGAGCAAGAAGAAGAAAGAGAATGGTCACATTCTAGTAGCCAGAGCTGGGGACAGACGCCACCCAGGCACTTCATGGGGAGGAGTTAGGGCCAAGACAGAGAGCCCTGCTAGACTTGGGGGCCAGGAGCTCATGGAATATGTCATGACTGGGCACAGTGCACAGCGACCAGTCGGGGTTCCAGGGGATGAGAAGTGGGAAACAGGAGGTCCCCCATGATGCTGGGCTCCCAGGAAATCTGGATTAACCTGCGGCAGACAATTGCACAGCTCTGCCCTACGAATAGCACAGGAGGAGGCCAGTACCCAAGACTTCAGGGACGGGTTCTAGGTGGGCAGGCCAAGACAAATGTGAGACCTAAAGAAGATGGTCGCCCCTTCACCTCCACACCCAGGGCTGCCACTTTCAGCTCAGGGAAGGTGGTAAAAGGCAGACCCCATCTCCCCCGGCATCCACAGATACTTCTCTATGTAAAGAAAACACTTCATTGCATGTAATTGACATGGGATCTGATTCGCTCTTAGCAAACATAACAGCTCCGTCCTTTTCGGTAACTACACTAGACAATCACCATCATGTGATGTTAGGATATTCCCAGCACACAGGCCCCAATCTCCCTACCACCATTAGCACCTACTCCCCGCTTTATTCCCTCCCTAGCTTCAGGAAGCCACTTCCTTCTCTAAGGACCTGGCTCTTCTGGGTTTCTTACATAAACGGAACCCTTTGGTGAAACCTCTGGATAAAACAAAGCAAAGTTCCACTTTCACCTAACAGACAGCTGGGACTGCACAGCCAGGTGTGCATCCCCACCCCCACAGAGAGGGCAGGATGGTACCCATCCCCCTTCTGGCTGAGCTGCAGCTGGAACGGTAAATCCTGAGAGAGAAAGGTAGCATCTAGGAACTCATAAACACTAGGTGCAGCGGTCTAGAGGAGGGGAAGGAAGAGTCATTCATTCCGTCCTATTTGCTCACAGCAGAGGGAAGGATTCCATAGCCCTCACAGGCTCAAAGCTGCAACCGGTCACATGGTCTGAGTGGTATTTATAACCATCTTCCTGCATGTCTCTTTCCTTCAGCTTGTGCCTTGGCTGATTGTGGCCCTTTACCTGGTGGGTGACCTAAGCCTTCATTCCCGAAGGGTCTGGGCCCTCGGCGGTCCAGTGTGGATTGGGCAGTAGAATCTTTCCACTGATGTTAATCATTGGGACTAGAGCTGCAGGTCATCATCTATGTTCTAGACTTTCTGTTGTGGAACCACAGCCTGTCTCCCCTGGTCAGGGCAGTTGCACCAGTCCATAATCAATCAGCCCCTTGCAGCCTGGCGATTCTCTCACAAGAGTATCTCAAAGTGGACCTATGGCCACCCCAGCCTCCAGGGTACTGGGAGTTAGTGCAGCACGTACTAGCAGAGGTCTTGAACAAGAGGACCTAGACTAGTGGGCACAGGGAGACAAATGCTACTGGCAAAGGGCTAGGATATAACTTGGTAGCAAGGTGCTTGCCTGCTACGTGCAAAAGCCCTGGGTTCAATCTGCCAATCACCGGTGGACTTTCACTGGGGAACAAGAATATCATTGATGCGTTAACCTCTGTGTTTCCAGGACCGTGAGCAATGGCTACAGGAACATAGGTACATGGATCATCCGAGTTCAGAGGATATTGTTCCGGCTCCTCAGTGTCCTCAGACCAGGGAAGGGGAGCCTGTGAAGGATGGCGGTTCCCTGAGCTTACACTCTCTGCTTTATGGCCCTGTCCAGAAGGAAGCCCTGTGATAAACAGCAGGGAGTCAAGCAGGCTGTGAAGGTACCTTGGGTCAGAGGGCCAGTTCATACTCAGGTTTGCCTTGGTGCCAGTGGCAGCAGAGGGGTACCCCCATGATGGCAGTACTCCAACATCACCCCGCAGTGTGTCAGATAGTGGACCTAGCAGAGGGATCTCAATGAATGGACACCCACGTACTGTTCCATACCATTCTCAAACCCTTTTGGGAATGACAGGGACATCCAAGGCTGGCTGGCGGTCACTGACTAGGTCCTCTCATCCACCATGGACCTCCATTCAGCCCAGGGGTTTTTTCTGTGGCCAACGTCTATAGAGGGACATATGTCTCTTCACATCCTGTGCTCTGCACCCCAGGAGACCCTGGGAGAGGTCCAGCCCTTTCCTCAACCTCCTGCTACCAACTTTTTCAAATGTTTGCCTTTCAATTCTTTCATCATCATAACTGATTGGCCACCGAATGGTGGAACCTACAAACTTTATCTCTCCTTCTAGGTCAAGTGTGACTTAGAAGTCACCGGAGTGACTGTGCCAGGCCTCGCCTGCTGGGATGTAGCCTTCCTCCCATTCCTGACAGGGGGCTGCAGGTCACCCTCTCACTTTGGGATTGGACTGACGTGCCATGCAAAGTTACTGGAAGCCGAGGCAAGACTTTTTCTTTCTCAGTGACTAGGTACCAGGAAATTACATATGAAGAACCGGTGCTGCTGGGAGGGGCTGCCAAAGAAGCAGGAACAAGACACTGGCATCATGGGAGCTCTTTATGGAACTCCCTGGAGCTTTAAAGTTTGCAATGGTCAACCTTGATTGTCAACCTAATGGGATTTAGAATCACCATGGAAACAAACCTTAGGGCATGACTGTTGGGGATTTTCTAGATTGAGTTAGCTGAGGCGCCGAGGCTCACTCTAAATGTAGGCGGCACCATCTCATAGACTGGTTATCGGGATGGATAAAAAGCAAACAAGCTGAGCACCAGCATTCATCCCAATCTGCTTCGCAACTGTGTGTGCAGCCTTGCGAGCTGCCTCACGCTCCTGCCACAGTGCCTTCCTCACCATGATGAACTGTCCCCTCAGACAGTGAGTCCAAATGAACCTTTTCTTCTTTTGGTGGCTTTTGTGAAATATTTTTTTCAGGAATGAGTGAAGTGGCTAACATAGAGTTGGTAGTTATCAGGTCTGCCCTGCACCCACTGCCTCCACTAAATGCTGAAACACATCTGTGTCCCCCAACCCATCAAATCACGGGACATTTCATAGCTCATTTATAAGGGACAGTTCAGGTCATGTGGCCAGTTGGTGTCACATGGCCACATGTTCTGTAAAGCCTAGGGGCAATTCAGGATCTGAGGAAGTATCCATGGAGGATGGCAGGGCTCAGCTCCATAGACCAAGGTGATGGGCTGTGAAGTCCCTGAAGGAGCCGGAACAGCCCCCACAGAACTTCCTACCTCCCGCAGGCACCTTGCACACCGTGACGCTGCTGCTCAGAGACACTCATACAGCTAAGAAAGTTGCACAGCATCCTGGGCCTGCTGCAGAGCCTCTTCTTGTCTGGGTGTCTTGGTTTTCCATTCCTGTGAAAGGACACCATGACCACGGCAACTCCTACAAAGAAAACATCTAATTGAAGGGACTCGCTTATAGTCTCAGAGCTCCGGGTCATTATCATCATGACAGGGAGCATGGTGGCATGTACACAGACAGGATACTGGAGCTGAAAATGCTACATCTTGCAGCAACAGGAAGTTTACTGTGACACTGGGTGGTGTCCTGAGCATAGGAAACCTCAAAGTCCACCCCCACAGTGACACATGTCCTCTAACAAGGTCACCATACTCACACCAACAAAGACACACTTCTTAAGAGTGCCACTCCCTATGAGGTTATGGGGGCCAATTACAATTAAAACCACACTGGGCCTCATTGAAAAGTGGCATCCCTGTGGGTCACTTGATATCATGGATCCGATAACTGTAAAATCCAAAGAGAGCCACCAGGCCCTGTGCTGTATCTTACACAATAGAAAGTACCCTAAGCAGTTCTCCACTCAACCCAGGCCACTGCACCATAGCAATATCATCAAGGCAGAAGCCTCCCCCAAATCATGAGGGATTTGATCACCTGACCTTCAAAGACACATCACGTGGCCAAGTTATCTTTAGATATCATGAAAGTCAGCAATAAATGTCAACTTGATACAACCTAGAGTTATCACCTGGGAAGAGAGTCTCAGTGAGGGGCTGCCTACTTGGGACTGACCTGAGAGCGTGTCTGTGAGGGCCTGTCTCAATTAAGTTAATTATGGGAAGACCCGGCCCACCATGGGCAGCACCGTTCCCTATGATAGGGGCTTCTGAACTGTGTGATAGTAGAGACGAACAGCTAAAGAAATAAAACCAGGACAGGTGCCTACAACTTCCTACTCAGATGGTCCAGGAAGCACAGCTGTGTGTTCAGAGCAGCACAGCAGATGCCCATAGGAAGAGAAGTCAATTCGGATCCCCAGGGCTGGAATATGACAAGGTGTTCCAAGCCTCTGAGGTGGGACAGACTAGTGTGTTTCTTAGTCGCTGAAGACAGCAGGTTCCTGGTAAGTTTTATTAAGATGCACAAAGAAACCCAGTGCATTCACCAGCTCAAGAGTCAATAAGTTGGACTTTGTTAAAATTGAAAGCTTCTGTTGTATGAGTCACCTCAGCTGTTTCTATGACAAAATGCCTGACAGAAACATCTGGAAGAAGGAACCATTGTGTGGGCTCCCAGTTCATGGCGTCAGTGGGAGCAGCTCGTAGCTTCAGCGCAGAACACAGGATGGCTTGCTCACTTCTCTGTGGATCAGGAAACAGAGACAGGTTAGAAAGAGAGGCCATGCTATGATCCTCCATGTCCATCCCACGGTGTCCTACTGCCTCCAAGGAGGACGTACCTCCTGAAGCTGCAACCTTCCCAAAACAATGCCCCAGGTGGGAACTACGTGTTCAAATACATGGGCCTGTGGGAGGCATTTCACACCCAAACCATACATCTCCTTTGCAGAAACATTGCTAAAAGAAGGAAAGGAACTGGGTGTGATAACTTGTACCTGTGATCCCAGCATTTGGGAGATAGAGACAGGTGAAGTCCAAGGTCATCCCCAGCAAGTTAGTGAGCTCAAGGCCAGCCAGGGATACAGGACACCTGTGTCAAACAGAGAGGGTCAGGGTTACAGAAAGCTGGTGAGATGGCTTAGAGAGGACACTCTGAGCAATCAGGAAGACCAGAGTTCAGATCCCAACATTCACATGGTAACTTGGGAATTCTGTATACACCTGTGACCCAGCTCTGAGGGGATCAGAGGCAGGAGGATCACTGGGGCTTCCTGGTTCCCAGACTAGCTGAGAAAACACAAACCACAGGTTCAGGGAGAGAGCCCCTGCTTCAAAGGAACAGCTGGAGAGCGATATACAAAGACACTTTATATCCTCTTCTGGCCTCTGCATGTAGGCATTGATGTGCGCGCGCGCACACACACACACACACACACACACACACACACGTGTGCATATACTCACACAGACATATACACAAATAAGTAAATATTTTTAGAAGAGGAGGAGGAGGACAAAAAGAGAAGTCACAGACTGGGAAAATAATTCTGCAATTTTTTTTAAAGATTTATTTATTTTTATGTATGAGTGTTTTATGTGCATGTATATATGTGTACCACATGCATGCCTGGTGCCTATGGGGGCCAGAAAAGGGCATTGGATCCCCTGGAGTTAGAGCTACTGATGGTGTGAGCCACCAGATGGATGCTGGAAACTGAAGCTGGGTCCTCTGCACGAGAGGTAAGCGTTTTTAACCACTGATCCATCTGTCCAGCATCATCAAAGTATTTTATATGATAAAGGACCCCTAGTACAAATAAACAAAGAACTCTTAAATATCAATAATAAAAATTATTTAAAAGATGTAGATGCCTCACCAAAGGTGGGTGAGGTGGATGCCTTACTTGTGGGTGTCAGACAAGTAGATTTTCAACATCTCACAGAACTGGAGAACTGAAATTCAAACAATAAGGAAACATCACTGACTACGAGAATGGCCAAAGTCAGGAAAACTGACAATACCTGATACTGTGGGGACATCACATCACTGCTGGTGGGAATGCCACATGGCACAGTGCAGAAAGACAGAATGTCCGTGCTGCGGGGTAGGTGTGAAGTTCCTGACACTGGCCCACGTGGTAAGCACTTAGACCCCAGTGGATGGTGCTAATATAGAAGGTAGAAACCCTGGACCATGGGGCTCAGCTAAAGGAAGGAGGCCGTTAGGGGAATTCCTTTGAGAACATGACTCTTCACCAGGCCCCTCTTGTCTTTGCTTCCTGTCCATGATGAGATGAGCAACCTCCACCTGCACACACTCTTGTCACTCCAATGCCCCTGCCGCAGCCAGGAGACAGTGCGATGCCTCTGTCTCAGGTGCTGCAAGTACCAAGAAATGGTCCAGAAACACCCCCAAGTCCTAACTATTTCTCTTTCACCAAACAAAGGCACCAGGTGAGTGGCTGCAGGTCCTTTAGGAGGCTGGAAGAGAGCAGGATCCTTCCTCAGTCTGGGATGCTGAACTGGGTCTTGGTAGAGTCAGGCCTTGTGTGAGTGCTGCCGGGGGCGGGGCCTGAAGCTCCTCACTAGTGCTGTCAGCTGACTCCGGTGCCAGTCCTTCAGTTTTGGGGATGCCATGACCAACTGACCAGGCACAGGAATCTACAGGCCAGGCGACTCTAACCACTGCCCACCACAGACGCCACATTAGCAACAGGCCCAGGAGTTCCCAGGCATGTCCTGGCAAAGGTTCCTCTTGTCTGTCTTCCATAAAGGTCTCAGTTCTCCTAGCCCAGCACCCACCCTGACCAGCCACCCCTTGTACGTCTGCCTCATTACTGATTCTGGTGTTTGAAATGTTAGGATTTGGTGGAGCACAGTTGTATATGCCTGTCAACCCAGCACTTGGCAGGCAAAGGCAAAGGATAGTGTTCAAAACCAGCCTGAACTACGTATATGTTCCCAAGCCAGTCAAAACTGTATCTGAAGGCCCTGTGTCAAAAATGAAGTGAAATAAAACATCAGAAGTTTACATCACATTGACTTAAGACAGAAACAGTAGTTGGCTAATGTCACCATGAAAGCCCAGTATAAACAAGGACATTGACTGAGACAGGACTGCACTCTCTGTGTGCCTGTGGCCTCTAGGAGGCAGAGACAACCCTAGTAGGCTTCTTCCTACTTCTCAGTACTCAGAGTAACCTCTTAGGGAGACTTCAGCCTTCAGTGCCACAGCTAGGGTCAAGAGGGCCAAACCTTCACGGCCACAGCTGGGGTGATTACCTAAACTTGGTTTTGGCAATCTCTGTAAGCCCTGGTACGATAGAGCTGAGAGTCTCTGGGTCTCCCAGGGTCTTGACCCTTCTACTTCAGCCACATCTAGAACTTTGACTGTTCAACTCACTGCTGCCAACCAGAGCCAACTCATCGATATCTGATCTCTAATCCCAGAAACTGGGTATAAGAAGATACAAGACCGGTCAGGTGGGGTTGGGGAGTTACAGCCATCATGTTGGGACACTACAACAGAGGAACAACATGACTTCAGTGGTCCAGTTGATGAGTTTCTGCCAGGTTTTCCAGTGCCACTGGAGCCTGGAGGAGGTCCAGGGGTCACCCCAATAACAGCCCTCCCAGGTACCCCGAGCACCGGCCCTTTCTCTTCATCACCATCACGGGTAACCCAGGTAAGACTGAAAGACTCTTCCTTGCACTAAAGAATGGGACAGCACGGCGTAGAGGAATGTGCTTCCTTAAAGGGACCCTGGAGCCTGGGAGGGGGGGGTCATGGACCTTGGACACCTCCCCTCAGGGAGGACAGCTGCAGCCTGCAGGGCAAGCTGGACCCCATTGATGAGGAGGGAGGGAGGACAGGGATGGGTGGAGCAGGGCTGGCCTTGGTGTCCAGTACTGGAGCAGGTGTGAGTGCAGACTAAATGGGATTAGAGGCCAAAAGCAAGAGACCCCTGGGCTCAGCTGTGGGTAGAAGGCAGCCCCTAACGTATCTCACTCTCACCGGAGTGGACAGTTTCAGAGTTGGGACAAAGGAAAAAATCAGGCCACTCCCAGGTTAGGCTCCCTAACAGTTTCCTCAGGTTTGGAGCCCCACTCTCCAGGAAGTGAGAAGGGCAGGAAGAGAACCAGGATGTGGGTGCCCCCATGCACCCAGGTAACAGACAAGCTGGCCTCCCAGAGTGGGAAGGGCTGTGTGTCACCCACCCTGCCCTACCAGGACCTCAGATGTCAGGTGCAGGCTGAGATGGTCCCACTCTGCTTGGCCCCAAGGAGTGGACAGGAGTTTCTTCTGTCACACCTCCCTCAAGGTGGTTCTTAAGAGGACAAAAGAGGAGATTACTTTCTGGCCCAGGTAATGGTCTTCAAGTTGCAGGAGCCTGCTTTTAAGCCAAAGTCCCCCATCCCACCAGGCTTCCCGGAGGCAACTGTTTAGGTAAACTGAGGCATTAGTGAAAGAAAGCTACACAGGAACAAATGAAGCGTCGGACAGATGAGCAATGGCTTGAGGGGAGGACAAGTGGGTGGTGGGTGCATGAATGGACACCAGCTGGCAAGTGTTGTCCTCTCCCCTCTGATGGAGAAGGAGCAGTGGGAAGGAAAGGTGTGGGGGGAGACCAAGAGGGCAGGGCTTAGTGACACAATCTGGGGGCCGACACAAACAGGCTTTGAAATGCAATCAACTTTGTAGAGTTGTCTGGGCTTATAGAAATGCTGGGGTTCTGCCAGAGCTCACAACCACCCTCTCACAGCCTCTACTGCCAGCTGGGAGGGCAGACCAGGAAAAAAAGAGCTGCATCCTTCCTATGCTGTCAGTATGTGGCACAGCTGTAACCTGGTGTGTGAGGGTGCCCCCCACACCAAGCACTTCTCCGGCATACGCTGGCTGGGTTCCCAATTCCATCTGACTCTGCATGGCCTGCCCAGAGAGAGCATCAGATCCCACAGGTGGGCCCCAGCCTACAAGACTGCACATCCTAAGCCCCTAAAGGTGGCATCACACTCCAGGCTGTGGCCTGTAAGTCGAGAGCTCCTGCAGGCCCCTCCTTGGTTCTGGGTCACTTGCTGGAGTAGCCCATAGAACTCAGGGGAGCGCTGCCTTACACCTGCCCACTACTTTATTATAAAGGCCACGATGAAGGGCGACCACAGCCACCAGACCAGAGGGCCTCAAAGTGAGGCAACTGGAAGGGGACGCCTCCCTGTCACCTTTAGGTCCACTGCCCTCTGGCACCTCCTGTGGTCAGCAGTGTGGATACTCCTACACTGCCCTTTACCTTTAACTGTGGCTTTAAGGTACAGTCGGGCTGATGCCATCATGGGACTCCAGGTGCTCCCCACTCCATGGAGGTTGGGGAAGGGGTGGGACTGAGATCCCCTAAACTCTCCGCCCTAGCTTGAACTTCCTGGTGTACAGCCTCACCTTAAGGCAACCTGGATGCCAGAACCACTAGCCAACCCACGAAGGTTGTTCCTGCCACACTGGAGATTCTAAAAGGTTTTAGGTGTGTCCAACTTCTAGACCTCATGACCAACACTGTCACCTACAAAGTTCATGTGTGGAATCCTCACGATCGAGTTTCAACTAAACCAAAAGCTCCTACAGGGCTGGAAAGATGGCTCAGTTAGCGAACCGATCAATGAACATTGAGGACCTGAATTTGATCCCAGCACTCATCTTAAAAGTTAGCTGAGGGGCTGGAGAGATGGCTCTGTGGTTAAGAGCACTGGAGCCTCTTCCCAAGGAACCAGGCTTGGTTCCCAGGGTGCTTATGAAGACACACAGCTGACTGTAACGCCAGTTCCGGAGGATCTGACGCCCTCTTCTGTCCTTTTCAGGTACTGCACCACATATGGCAGGCAAAATACCCAAACACACAAAATGAAAATAATCTAAAAGAAAAGAAAAAGAAGGTGGAGAATAACAAGGAAGACACTTAAAGTTGGCTTTTGGCCTTTGCATGTGTGTGAGTGCACACAAAAAATTGTGAAAAATAATGTTCTTAGTATACTCACAATTTTTATGTTCAGCCACACATAGGATAACTAGCCCTCCTCAGTCACATGCACACCACAGGACCACACGTTGGGCATCTGTAGGAACTTTGGACCAGGAAACCATATGTGTTTCACAGCAACATGTGACATTGGTGAGGGGCAGCTGTCACCCAGTATTGATGTATCCCTGTCAATTACCCATCTCCTGTGTCCCTGCCTGTCCTTCTCTGGCCCCAAGGATCATTCAGGATCCCACATGGCCTGCATTCTGCCTCCCAAGGCTCTTCTGGGCTACAGCAATGTCTCATTGTCTCTGCTGCAACCATGAGATCTGAGGTGGCTGTTCAGGTGTCCTGTGGATGGCCCTGAGCTGGGAAATGTCCCGTTTATTTTTTTTTCAGTGTTAGATGGGAGTCCTTGGTTATGGAAGAAGACAGCCCTCTCCTTACCTCCCATACAGGTCCCCACCATCCACATGACTTGTCCCTGGGTGTCATGGCTGGGCTGCCAGCAAGGCCTCCACTACACAGAGCCCCTCTCTCTTTTCAGGAAGAAAGAGATTCTGTCTGTGCCTGCTGAGATCTGCTCCACCTTCAAGAGAAGGCGGGTGGAGCCGTTGGATGGCTTTACTGGGATTCTTCTGGATGGGACATTTGCTCTCTTCTTCCTCACTCATTGCTATAGTTTATCATTTACCTTATTGGAATGGATTTACTATGGGGGTGGGGCGGTGCCACAGCACATGCATGGAGGTGCTGTCAGGGGACATTTCTTCTACTCTGTGGCACCTAGAACTGAGCTCAGGTTCTTAGAACGGCGCCAGGTGCTTGCTTTTTTTTTTAATATTGAAACCTAATACTATTCAAAATTTTCAGCTTTGGCTGTTGAATTTTTTAATTTAAAAATGATAGAACCATTTTTAGTCAACTAACTCACTAGATAAAGGAAGAAGCAACAAAGAGGAAGCAGTAAATAATATTCCAGCAATAAGTGCCCTGTTGTGGATGCATTTGGACACAGCGGAGGGTGGAGAAGAGAGAGAAATAAATAAATACTCACACAGGGTCATATACACAATACACAGAGAGATACACACAAATACAAGTAAACACACACACAAATACACAACATACATATACACATACATAAACAGAGACACACACACAAAAACAAACTATCCCACAACATATAAAACCACAGATATACATAAACATACATAACACATATACAAATGCACACACACATACATATATACACATAGATATACACAAGCACACACAGAAAACACATAAATGTACACACACATATAAACAAACGCACATGTTGACACACAAATACATACATAGACACACACACACAGCATCTTGGAGATCCGGGCAGCCAGCAATGGGCCTAGATGTATCCCTGAGCCATCTCTTTGAAGCCAAACATGCAGCTTTGGGCCTCTTCCTGACTTCAGAGGGCTAGTACTGCCCTCTACTGGGAGTGAGTCATACTGCAGGGTGCCCTGAGAGAGGCAGTAGGCAGGACAGCAGCTTCCTCTGACATACAACTTCCTCTTAGAGAGAGAGTCACAGCAGAAGGTGGGTACCCAAAGGGTATGTTGCCAGGTGGTTCTGCAACACATGGCTCCCTGGTTCTGCTGGTGGACTCAGAACTAGCAGAGGTTATGGTGTTGGGGGGACTGGCTTTGTCCCCACCACTTTGAGAAGAGAAAGTAAGGCCACCTGAGCAAAGCACCTGGCTCCGCTCTTTTCTCCTAGGCACCGAGGAATCGGGGAAAGGACTCTAGGTGGTTCCGGGCCTATCTTGAGCCCTGGTGGCTGCCCGGCTCTCCCTCCTGTGCAGGTGGAGAGAGGTGTTGAGGAATGAGTCAAACTAGGTGGCGAGCAAACAGGAGACTCTGCTGCAGGTGGTTGGCACATTGGATGCTTAGGTCACCCCGAGGCTTTGCTCAAGCTGCACCTAGGCTGCTCTGCACCCCAGCCGGGCCCTGAACTCCACCTTGAGTGATGCCACCCCTCACCTACCTAACAGTCTCAGGACAGGGTCTCTGGAAGATGACAGCTACAGGGGAGTCATCCGAGGTTCTGGGAAGAGTCCCTTGGAAGAGGGAGAGAAGAGGCGACTGTAGCAATAGGCTCCCGTGTCAGTCTTCCTGAGTGGGTAGCCACTTGGCCATCTTCCCAGCACCAACACTGGTAGCCAGTACAGAGCCCTGTTCCACTGGCTTCTAGAAGGCCCAGGGGTCACTCCCTTAGTTACCTGTTTTTCCCACCAAGGTGCCCCCTGACCAGGAGGACCCTATATTACAGGATGGGAAAGGAGAGCCATGCAGTCCTTGCTGGAGTACCCAGAAGTCGCCTCAGGTGTTTACAAAGGCCCAGAATTAACCAGATTTTATGGGAGCCACTCATGTAATGACCAGGTACACCATGGCCTCAAAAGTCCACTTAGCATGGCCCACATGTATTTGAATTTGCAGTACTGTGCTATCCATGGCTGACATCATTCTGTGTTATTGTAGATGATGTTTTAACAAAGATTCCTGTGGGTGTGTATGAGGCACAGGCCCTCCTGTGAGGCCCTGATATTTGAAATAAGAAAACAGTTTTTCCCCTTTCAAAAAGTGACTGGTAGCCACTTCCTAAATGTAACCCCAGCAACACAGACACTGAGAGAAACAATTAATAAATGGGACCTCCTGAAACTGAGAAGCTTCTGTAAAGCAAAGGACACAGTCAACAAGACAAAACAACAGCCTACAGAATGGGAAAAGATCTTTACTAACCCCACATCAGACAGAGCGCTGATCTCCAAAATATACAAAGAACTCAAGAATCTTGACATAAACAGAACAAATAATCCAATAAAGAATGATGTACATAAACAGAAAACTCTCAATAGAGGAATCTCAGAGGGCGAAAGACACTTAAGGAAATGCCCAGCATCGTTAGCCATCAGAAAAATGCAAATCAAAACACTCTGAGATTCTATCTTATACCTGTCAGAATGGCCAAGATCAAAAACAATGATGACAGCATATGCTGAAGGGGATGTGGGGTAAGGGGAACACTCCTGCATTGCTGGTGATAGTGCAAAATTGTACATCCACTTTGGAAATCAGTATGGTGATTTCCCAGAAAATTAGGACACAATCTACCTCAAGACCCAGCAATACCGCTGTTGGGCATCTACCCAAAAGACGCCCAATCATACCACAAGGACACATGCTCAACTATGTTCACAGCGGACAGGTTGTAATTGCCAGAACATGGAAACAACCTAAACGCTCCTCAACTGAAGACCGGATAAAGAAAATGTGGTACATTTACACATGGAGTACTACACAGAAATAAAAAAATAATGACATCTTGAAATTTGCAGGCAAATGGATGGATCTAGAAAAATCCATATTGAGTGAGGTAACCCAGACCCAGGAAGATAAATATAGTATATATTTACTCATAAATGGCTTTTAGACATAAGAAAAAAGAAAAACCAACTTACAGGCCATAATCCCATAGAAACTAGACAACAAAGAGGACCCTAAAAAAGATATGCATAGATCTATATAGAAAGGTGAAAAAGACAAGATCTCCTGAGTAAATTGGGAACACATAAGGGAAGACGGGAGGAAAAGACGGGAGTGGAGAAAAATGTATAGCTAAATAAAAACAATTTTTTGAAAAGGTAAAAAAAGAGTATAGACAAAAGTCATAAATTTGAGATGCGTTTGGAACACAGGAAGAGTGGGAGGACTAGTAGGAAGAGTGAAAATAATGTAAATACAATACACGGGCAAGGGATTCTCAGAAACTAAAAATATATAAATAAAAGACAAAAAAGTGACTGGTAGCATCTCGAATAGTTCTTTATTTTTGTGTATTTATTTATGTGTGTGTTCCTGGGGTGGTGTGGGGGTGGAGGCATGTGAAGGCCAGAGGTGAACCTCAGGTGTCCTTCCTCAGCAGCCAGCCAACTTGTTTATTGAAACAGGGTCTTCCACTGGCATGGGACTCACCAGACAGGCTAGGCTGGCTGGCCAGTGAGTCCCAGGAATCCTCCCGTTTCAGCTGGAATTACAAGTATGCCCCTCGCCCCAAGGCCTGGCTTCTTTAACATAGATTCTGAGGAACTCTCAAGTCTTCCTGCTGGACAGGCAGACAAACACTTTACCAACTAAGCCATCTTCCCACCCTATTTATTTCTGAGATGGGGTCTTACTATGTGGATTAGGCTAGCCTCTGACGTGCTATAATTCTCCTGCCTCAGCCTCCTAGGTGCTGGTTGTGAGAAACACGTCTTGTTTTCTTTCAGAGATGGCTAGCCCACCAAAGACCAATACCTATAAACTTGCCCCATCTTGAAACTCCTATGTATGCACCATGCCTGCTTGCCCAGCCCCTGGACATTCCTGAGAGTGGACTCTATCACAGCCTTCCCCTCTGTGCATAATCTGTGCTGATTATGAACTGGCCAATAGCATCAGGTCCTGAGATAGTTACCACCTGCAGGAGTCCGTTTGAGGATTAACACCAGGAGGACTCTGGGACACAGGGTCTCTAAACCAAACACTAAGGGTCCTAGTGCAGCTGGGTAGGTTAGTATATTCTTATAACCAATGCTAGACATTGGGTTCTTCTCTTACTGCCTGTCTCGAGACTCCACCCCCTCCAGTGCTGCAGTGTGGCCCAACCCATCCACCGGGAAGCCTCATATACCTACAAAAGCCCAGTTGTCTTGGGCCAGGCCAGGGCAGCTGCAGGTATAGAAACTGCCCCTCTTCCTGCCTGTCTTTCTTCCTTCCCCAAACTCAGCCACTGTGTTAGAAAGGCTGTTGACAGATGGGAGGGCACAACCTACCTACTGGGTCAGCTGTGGTGTGAGGTTCCCCACCCAGTGGGGAACCACAGAAGGGAGGGGAGTAGATGAAGGGAGGAAAGGGGAGGTGGAGGGAGGAGAGGGGAGAAGAAGAGAGAGGAGAGGAGAGCAGAGGAGAGCAGAGGAGAGCAGAGCAGAGGAGAGGAGAGGAGAGCAGAGGAGAGGAGCACCATGGAGCACTGGAATCGAATCAAGATTGCCAAATGCCAGATACTGATCACCAACTTCTTTGTCTTGGTAACACGCAAGTGGAACAGGAGTGGGTGGGCAGGTGGGCAGGTGGGCAGGTGGGCAGTAGGGGAACTAATACACCATGCCCAGGCCCTCTAGCACTGTGGTCTCCCCTCCCCCGACACCACAGTCACACAGACTGGGGCTGGGTCTCTGGTGACCGCCCTTAGAGGACTGTGGACACATGTCCTTGAAGGCGCAGCTGTCACCCCAAGGGGCAGTGAAGAGCCCGGGAGAACCCAGGTTGGCTGGTGATTTGGAGTGTGCAGGGACAGCCAGGAAGGGGTGCTGCCTGGGATCCAGGAGAGGACAGGGATGCAGGGTCTCTGCAGACAGTTTGATGTGATCTTCTGGGTCCCTAGAGAAAATGGGCACAAGGATGTGTGTTGCATACTTATCTGTGTGTGATAGCATGCCGGTGGAGGACCCGTCCCTCCCATCCACAAAAACATGTAGGCCTCCCGCAGCGGCCTTGCGCCTGGAGGGAGCCAGCTTGGGGCGCCCAGAAGCCCAGGCCCCACACTCTGTCACGGTGGGAGGGCCTTTGCTGCTATGCACACCTCCTGTGCTGAGCCCACTTCACTTTCAGCTGCTGGGCCTCTTTATGGCCACCATGGCAGCTGTCACTCACTTTGGGGACCACTTTACTGTCATTCGCCAAGTAGCCCTGGAGAGGAACCCCTATGAAGCAATGCACTACTGGGGTAAGTATGGCCGGCCAGAAATGGCTGTGGAACAGGGTGGGGGGGTGGGGGGGTGGGAGGACTTCAGGGTCAGAAGCACCTGGGAGGAGTGACCTAACTCCCCAGCCCCAGACTGTCCTGACTCCCCGTCCCTAGGCTTTGGGCAGAGTCAGAGGTCGGGGCAGGGAGGAGACACCCCAGTGTCCTGGTTTTACTAATAAAATTGGGGAGGTTTAGGCAACATCAGGCAGTCCTGCCCTGATTCTCCTGCCACACAGGACCATTCAAGGTGTGGCAGACCCCAGATCTGTGCTTTCAGGGCAGGGATCAGATGGGCCTGTGGGACTCGGCAGTGAATACCAAAGGGCAGAAAATGCCTAGTTATGGCTAAGTCTGCCAGAGTGCCCAACCTCCACAAGAGCAAGGCTTTAATGAGGGGGATGATCCTGATAGGAATGCAAAGAACCTAGGAGGGTAGGAAAGAGTAGGAGAAATTGAGGCCCCTGAATAGGGGGTTGTCAGCCCCAGTCCCTAGGCCCCCTGCCTTCCAAGGTGCTAGGCCCCGCCCAGGCAGGAAGCCTGGGGCCTGGGCCTGGGCTGATAAGGTCACAGCTCCACACTGCCACCTGTCACTAGAGCATGGGGATGTGGCTTCAAGATAGTCTGTGAGGCAGGGAAAGCAGTAGAAGTGGGGGACAGAATATGGCCCCTAGCTAGTTCCCTGATCGTCCCCCTTCCTTCCTAGGGACACCCCTTCTTTTGGGGCCAGAGATCTGTGCCTTTTGGGACCTCCCTAGAAGTTCAGTCCTAGTTCTGTGACCTCCCCTACCCCAAAAAGTAGATTTCAGATCCAACCTCCGTGCCCAGTCCCCATGCTGGATCCCTCACCCTCTGCCTCTCCCGTTCCACAGCCTTCTACGTGGGGATCAGCCTAGCAGGTCTACTGAGCCTGGGCGCTGCCCTGAGTACCATAGCCACAGTGAGGGAGGCCCATGGCCTCATGGCTGCGGTAAGTTCTGTGGTCGGCCAGATGACCCCAGCTTCCAACTCCCACACAGGGACAAGAGTTGGAGAGAAGTAAGCCAGGGAATCGCCTGACCTAAGTCAAAGTATCTTAAAAGGAGGACAGGTCAGGGGCTATGTACCAGTGAGTCCCTCTACCTATACAGTTAGGGCCTTGCAGGGCTCTCCCACCTTGGCAGTCACTTAGTCTCCACGGGGCTCTATGCTACTCTGTCTTCCCCAGATCTAACAATGGTTCTGTAGCACCCCTGAAAGAGAGTTGGTACTCTCAGCCCTGGGGCCATCTCCAAAGGCCTTGGGAGGGTCTGGTTCTGATCTCTAGCTAGGTCTGGACACAGGACTGGATAAATTTCACTTCTTATCAGAAGGCCGAACAGGGACAGGGAGATCCTGTTCCTGCAGCCTGGGCTTCCTTCTCACAGGTTCACTATCCCTGCCTAGCCGCTGACGGGAAGTTTCACAACCCCATAGAAGAAAGCCCTTGTTGCTGCCTTAACTATTTCTCCATATGGGTGTCCTACTGTGCCCCTACAGCCCTCAATAGTTAATCCAGGTTCTATCTGGCAGGACCCTCCCTATGGCCACCCAGTCCCTGTTTGACCCAGGCTTTCCCAGTCACCTGAACTGAGGCAGCTCCTTCCTGATGTCCTAGTCTCTTACCTGCCCCACTCCATTCCAGGTATAAGATCTCATTTCCCTCCTCCATCCATCCCTGTGCCCCTGTTTGTAGACTCCTAACCTTTGCCTATGAGTGATTGGGGGAATCCAAGAATCCTAAGGGACCTGAACTGGAGGCTATGCCTCTTAAATAGACCGAAACCAAACCTTGCAACCTTGTCTTCATGTTCAGTGTGTTTTCTGATGACCCTTGGTCTCCAAAGACAGGGACAGAGGCACCTCCTTCCCAAACTCCTCCCATGTCCTGCTTGGCACTTGATTTGTGGACAAAGGAATCCAGGAGCATTAGAACCCACCAGGCCTTCCAAGTTCCCAATCCCTCAATTCCACATCCCTGACAGACTCAGGGCCTGGTGCGGTACTGTTATAGGGACAAAGCCACCTCCTACCTAGAGCTGCTTCAGGGACCAGCCATAACCTGGTGGTGGACTAGGCAGAACCTGGCAGCTTTAGTCTCCCCAGGATTCTTGCTCTGATGATACGGGGCAGGGTAGGACTAGTGCTGGTCGTGAATAAGCACTCAACAAAAATAGCCTGGATTTGCCGCCAGAGGGAGGCCCTAGTGAAGAGGTCACAGAACTGGTGGACTGTGACCCCTGAGGATTTGTGTCTTGCTAGAGGAAAGACAAAATGGAGGCAGGGGTATGCAGGAGACAGGCCGAGAGGCCTGCACCTGGATATGACATCAGCCACCAGGGGGCACCAGAGTCAGCATGAAGACTAAAACGGGAGGTGGTAGGCAGGTGGGCCAAGGGGCCCAGTTTCAGATCAGCCTATTCCATCTCAGCCTTCCCAAGCTCCTCCCATGTCCTGCGGGCAAAATTCGAACCCACCCAGGCCTCCCAATTCCTCAATTCCTCATCCCTAACAGACTCAGGGCCTGGTGTGGTACTGTTACCTGGCTCAGGCTAAAAGGCAGATTCCTCCTGTTCAGAGTTGTGTTCTCAAGGTCACTCCAGGCCCAGTGCTCTGCCCTTTGCTGAATCCCAGCGCCCTCTACCCCAGCATGGACAGTAAGCCCAGTTCAGTCACCACAGGGTCACTGGGAACGCCACTGGTCACAGAGCCTTAGTGTCATGTTTATACTTGTGCCTGTGTGCATGGTGGGCACCGTCTGCCTCTGCCTGCCCTGTGGCTGCCTGTGTGTTGTCACTGGCCTGCATACTGGAACACATGTAAATCACATATAAAAGGGTCTAGGGAGGGGAAACATCCCCCTTCGTGACTCTGTGCCCACTGCCCCCCTCCATGCTCTTTCCTGCCCCGCCTTCTGAAACACAGGAAATGAAGGAGCTAGCTAGCGGCAGGAAGCAGATTCAAGTTGTTTACAAGTTTATTTATTCATTTGTTTTCATTTAGAATGAGTAGAGAGAAAAATGGTCACAGTTAGGCCTGGACCAACTTCTCTCAGCACTAAGCAGATCTTAAGACCCTTTCTATACACAGAAAGAGAGAGAGAGTGAGAGAGAGAGAGAGAGAGAGAGAGAGAGAGAGAGAGAGAGAGAAACAGGGAGACCAAAAACAAAAAAAGACAGAGACAAAGACAGAGGGAGGAGGGAGAGGGAAAAACTCCCTCTTGAGAATGAAATGGTTTCTGGAAAGGGCTGGACTCTGCGGCTGGCTCACAGCCTCAGCTGGGAGGCAGAGTTGAGGAATGGCTTCCAGACGGAAAAGTCAGCCCTCGACTGCCAGCAAGAGGGAAGAGGAGAGAGGAGGAGAAGGAGGGAAGAAAATGCGGAGGAAAGAGAAGAAGGCAGGGCAGGAGGAGGAAGGAGGGGGAGGAAGGGATAAAGGCAAAGATAGGAGCAGAAGCAGCAGGCAACCCAGGGCCAACTCGAAGACAGTGATGCAGGCTCCAGGTCAGGCAGGAGAAAGCAGGGAAGGGGGTACCCCCACCACTGCAGAGCCCACACCCACCCAAGTTTGAGGGGGCAGTGCAGATGCTCCCAGCTTTTTTTTTCACACACTTGGGAGAGCTAAGCTGGCCCTGGCATAGGCTGTTTGTTCCTGTCCTCCTGGTCTCTGACTGTAGGCTGCTCTGCACACTGGTCACTTTTCCCAGAGTGAAGCCACGGCTACTCATACCCATTGACACGCTAGTGACACTTGGGAGTGAGGTGGTGGTTGATCCAGAAGGCTCAGTGGTCACCCAGGACCTCTGTGTACTGGGTGGATCTATGTGCGTGACAATGGAGCTGACAAGAGCACAAGGCAGAGACTCGGAGGTCACCCAGATCGGAGGTCACTGGATGGGTTCTTAGTCCAGAGTGGCCCTGTGAAACTAGTCACAGAAGGGCAGGGACTTGCGGCAGTACCTGTATCAGGGGAGAGATGGGCACTGCCCACTAGTTCCATAAGGAAGTCAGCAGTTGTACCCCGACTAAAGCCAAGAAGGAAAGTGTGGAGTGTGAAAAGAAGTCCCTTTTTAGCACTTGGGGTGAATGGTAGGAATGGGGTGACCACAGGGACCCACACAGTGGTGTAGAGGAAGGGTAGGAAATTCACGAGGAAAGGAAGGTCACAGTCCGGGGAGCCAAACCTATGCCGGGGGTTGTGGCCTGTGGTTCTCTATGAGTCAGGCTGTAGAGGTTAGGGTTTCCTTGGAAACGGGTTTCAGAAATGAAACAACAAAGGGCCCACAGAAGGCACCCTGTATGAGGGGGCCATTACCTACCTTCAAGTGAGACGTTTCTGGCTGGGGATGTGGGTCAGTTCGAGTGCTTGCCTAGGACATATGACAGCCTTGGTTGAGACACTGGCACTGACTAAAACGTTGCGGTTGCGTACACCTGTAATCACAGCACTGAGGAGATGGAGGGTCATGAGCTCAAGGCCAGCCTGGGCTACCTCCATGAGACTCCACCTCAAAGGAGGGGATGGCAGTTAGGTGAATAGGGCTGGGGCAAAGGCTCGGTGGTTACAAGAGCTGCCTGCTCTTCCAGAGGATCCAAGTTCAGTTCCCAGAAACCATACAGAACTACCTGTGGCTCCTGTTCCAGAAGATTCAATACCTTCATCTGGCCTCCCCATATATGTGGCATTACATAAATACATTTTTTTTTAAAACTAAAAAAAAAATGTCTAAAGGCAGGGGTAGAGGATTCTGCTGCCAAAATTTCAGATCTTGGGAGGCACTGCCTGGCCCTCCTGGGGTCACTGTTCCTCCTAGAAGCCGCTGTAGTGGGCTAGGGTCTCTACCATATTGGAAAGGCCTACTGTTCCTAAGGAAGCGTGTGCCACCTTAGGTCCCAGGTCCTCCAGAGGAATCCCCAAAAAGAGCCTCCCCCAAGCAGTAGTTAATGGAGCTCAAGCCAGTAGCTCAGCCCAGGTCAGTTGGGGAAACTACCTACCTGGTACCCCGTGCTACCTCCCCAGGCCACATACCTGGCTGTACAGTGACCAGGCCATCTCTGTCCCCAGGGTTTCCTGTGCTTTGCCCTGTCATTCTGTGTCCAGGTGCAGGTGGCATTCTGGAGATTCCACAACCCCACCCAGGTGAGTACAGCCAGGACCCTCCCTCTATCTGGACCAGAGTTCTCTGCCCAGAGTTTCTGCTTTACCCTTACTCCCTGCCCAAGGAGACCCCCAAATGCTCACCCCAACCCTAATATTAAATGAAAAAAATATTTTCTCTATGGTCCAGAGGATCTGGAAGAGGGCTGAATCCCAACAACAGCTTGAGGGCATGGATGTCCAGAGTTCTGCCTGAGGCAGCAGGGCCAAGCAGCATTTGGGCAGAACCTTCCCTGTCCACTGGCGGGTGGTCTGGATGGCTGGTCACAGCGTGGGTGGCCTCAGTCAAGACAGCTGCCAGGTATCAGGGGCTGACCTCGGGTTAGCCTGCAGCAGCTGCAGCCCATCTTCTAAAACTGTTTACATTCGAAGCCCTAAACTTGGGGTGCAGAACAGGCAGAGGCCTCGCAGGAACCAGAGGACAGGCGGCAACTAGGGTTTAATCTACAGAAGGGAAAGGGCTTCTTACTCCATTCCTCATAAGACTGGCCACTAGGGCAATTCTCCAAGGCCTGCCTGACCGTGGTGGGCTAGGGTTACTCCTGGACCCTGGCCTGCTGGCCTATCCATTGTCTTGGAGTTATGACTTCCAACATGGCCCTGAGACCTGGTGAGCTACCTGGAGGTAAGCCTGGGTGAAAGCACCCTAGGTTTAAAATCAAGGGTGGCAGGCCAGTCCTTTGTCCTCCCTGGGCCTCTGTGTCTGCTTCTGTAAATGGAGAGTAGAAAGCCCTGCTGTAGAGCTACTGCATGGTGGAGATGAGCCAGGAGTGGAGGGGCAGTCCGGATCCTCTGCACCCCCAGGTTGTCTGGAATGTGGACCTAGTTCTGGGTTGTCCTGAGCTGGAATGAGGCCATGTGTGGTACCAAGCACAACTTGCACAGAGCCACCAAAACATCCTCCCATCCTCCCATGTTCTCCCTACCAGCGAACCAATCCAAGCCAAATAGGCCACAGCCATAGACTTGGCCCTCCTAGCTACCCCAGCCCCATGGGTAAGAAAGGATACAGGAATCAACTAGTAATGCTTAGAAGCCACCCCAGCTCCCCAAAACCTCCCTGGAAAGATCCCCAGGACATCCTAAAACAAGGGTCTAGCAAGAAGGTAAGGGTAGACGAGGAGACCTTGACTGTCTCTGTAGACCAGGCTCTGGCCTGAAGTGAGGATGGGGATGCTCCTTCCTGATCCCCCCTCCTCCCAGGACACAGGCCTTGGCAGGCACCCAAGGTTGGTGAGGATAGCGGTGTGGACCAGCCTGCTATGTACTGAATACAGAGAGATAGGGCTATTCATTACACCCTCACTGTGGCTTCAGAGCTGCTCTGCCACACTCTCCCACTGTCCCCAAGGAGTGGAAAATGAATTGTTTAGCTTTCCTTAATAATTCATGTCAAGACCAAGCACAGAACAAACATGTCTATGTAGCCTCAGGACCCAGTGCTGGTCCACAAGCCACCTGCAGCTCCATGTGGGGTCCTCCTGGCCATGGCTGTACTACCCTGATCTAACAAATGTGGGGGAAGGGAGGTCACCAAGCCCGGTTAGATATCACAGTGTCCTGGTCTTGGGAAGAAAGATAGGGGGATTCCCCCTAGCCATTGATCCTCAATCTGCAGTAACCTGGGCTGCCGTGTCTTACACAGCTCCAGGGATTGACCTGACTGAGGGGGCAAGGGAATGAAGAAAGGACAGACACACAGACACACACAGGAAAGCTAGAATCGGGCGGTTTGAACTCTCTGACGGGAAAGCTGCAGTCTTTTTGCCCCCAGCAGCTCAGTGTGTTTATTGTCTACAGCTGAATAAAGAGGCAGGGTCATTACAAGCAGATAAACAAAGGAGAGTGCGTTTATCGCATACAGCTGGACAAGGAGGCAGTTTGAGCTAGTCTCAGTGAGACTCACAGGATGGGAGGCTTGGCCAACATCTCATGGGTCTGTGGCTTTGGTCCCTGACAACACACACCCTCTCAGTACGTCATATACTCAGGGCTTCCTCTACCGTTCACACTGGACAACACACTTATACAAAGGAGACTTGGTACCCCAGAAGCTGCGTGACAACCCTGTAGACATAGATGCTTGCTGGGAGGGACCCTTGGATAAAGGATGTAGAGGCTTGGGCCCCTGGTTTAGGAAGCCTCTGGTCTACCCTCCCTATTCCCATGAAAGAACTACAGCCTCAAGTCTCTCACAGAACAACTTAAAATGCCAAAGAGAGTGCAGATGGCAATGTACTAACCCCACCCCCACCCCACCCCCGCCAATGCCCCAGTGCTGGGCTCTGCAAAGAGTCCAGCCTGGTCTCTAAGGCCCTAAAGTCCGGTTTTGAGGTCTGGGCAGATCTCTGTTGTTCTGCTCATGGTGGGTGGGATGCTGGGCAGAACCAAGCTGAGCTGAGCTCTAGAGCTGATGTCATCTCTATTGTCCTGTAGGAATGACAGTGGACAGAGGGCCCCTGGGTGCTGGGACATCCCTGAAAAGTGGCAGGACTGATGAGGGAAATAAAGTCAATTGTGCTAGGGAGTGGTGGAAAAAGGGCTAGTCCAATAGTGCCTGTTTGTTTCAGCTACCTGTCCCACCCGCCCCAGACCAGCTCCAGGCATTCCCAGCCCTCCCCAGGATTTGCTCTCTTAAGGACACAGTAACCCCACAGGCTTGAAGAAGCTGAGCCCACGAGAGGGCTCTGGCCCAGACTGACCAGCAACCAAGGCCAGCTTGGCACCTGCCCTGGGTGGGGGAGGGCCGGGGCAGGCTGAGCTGGGGATGACTCATGGGGATGTCTGGCTCTGTTGCATGGATGAGAGGGAGAAGTTGGTGCCAGGATCAGTGTTAGCACGGAGTTCCCCTGACTCCTACAGGGCCCTTGGGCCTGGGCTGGACTTGGTTACAAGAACTTCTGACTACCTGCCTGCCCACTATGGCCTGCAGGCAGCTGGTGAGAGAGGCCCATAGTGGAATGGACATCAGGCTATGGGACAGACATGCTTCCTTTCTGGAAGGCATGAGTGACCAGTGGAGACATAGAACTTCAACACCACTCCAGCCACTCAGCCCTATTCAGGACAATACTCTGTATGACCTGGCTGCTGGCCTGGCACAAGGCTGGGAGTCGGGAGGACTCAGGGTCTTCAAGGCAGAAAGACGTTGGAGGACTTGCCCTGAGTCAGGAGATCAGTGAGTTCCACATATTTGGGATGCCTTCCTGGAAGAGATGAAATTCCAGTTTGTCTCTGAAAACATATTCGGCCTGGGGGAGGACATCTTGGGGTAGGGATTGAGCAGAGTAGGGAATCAGAGCTGGGACACAGAAGCAAAAAAGTCTAGGCTGTTTGTGTGTGAAACAGAAGCAGGGCCAGTTTCCTTCTTCCTCTGCTGTGTCCACCTGGATCTGGCTCCAGATGCCCTTACCTTCCCTGGTCCAAGACTAGAGCGAATCTTCCCAGTATTCTGGGTAGTTCTGAAGAAGGGCCAGCAAGAACCTTAGGGAACAGAGGAACTAGTCCAGGCTGCTGTCCATGCTTCTCAGCAGGCTGGGCCTATTGCCTACATCCAGATGAGCAGGATGCTACCCCATGCTACCCAGAACCCACCACTAAGGGTGGGTAGCTGATACCTACTGGCCTCTTCTTTAACCCTTGGGAGTCCCAGGGGCAACAGGCAAGCCGCAGGATTGCCATGGTAGGAAGAAAGTTCCTGGAGAAGGAGGCCCAGGATGTGGGCTTCCTTGGGTCTCCCTCAGGCCATTGTTTCCTGGGATGCTTTTGGTGCAGGTGGAGGATGCAGTATTGGACACCTATGACCTCGTGTATGACCAGGCAATGAAGAGCCCATCCAGCAGCTGGTGGCAGGAGCTGGCCACCATCCAGGACACGGTGAGCAAGAGCGAGGGACAGGGTGGCCATACTTGCTGTGCCCCCAGAGAATGGGTGCCAGACATCCTCTAGCGTCAGCCATCCTGGCCAGGCTTCCAGAGAAGATCCTGGGACACAGGTTCCCTTGTGGGTAGATGACTGAGATCTCACCCATCCCCCTCTGTCCCTACTAGGACTGGCTACCCAATGTAAGTGCAGAATACAAGGGCAATGCCCTTGTTGAACATGCACTGAGAACTCTAAGGAGGAACTGGGTATTCTTCAAGGAAGTAGGTGTTCAGGCACCAGGCAGGCAGTGGGGCCCTGCTCTACGGGGACGAGGTCCTCAGAGAGCTATGCCGTTCCATCACCAGGGCTAAGTCACTGGTGGATATTTTTCCAGCAGCAGCTGTGATCCCGATTCCTGGCTCTGGTCTCATGGGGGCCCACTTTGCAGAACCGCCAAAGTTGCTGGTGCTTTGGTGCCTTAGTTTTCCCATCAGTCAGCCCTGCCCACACTATGCTCCTCTCTGATCTGTCTTCCAGTTTCTGTGTTGTGGGAAGAAGTCTCCTTTCGGGTTTCTGGCCAGCACCAGAGCCATCCTGTGTCAGGGCCAGGAGGCCATGAGAGAGGTGAGGAGGAGGGGACGAGAGCGTCTGTACTCAGATCAAATGAAGGTTGGGCACTCCAGGTTCTACCCGCGAAGGGACATCTTCATCCTCTTTGCCCTTTTGGCCTCCCACATTTTGGGATCTGCCCTAAAGTCTCAGGGATGTACCCGCCCCCTCCACACTGCCCTCCCCTGTGATAGGTGACCACAGGGCAGGGAACTTATGAGACGGCCAGCTCAACTTGGCCCAACTCCCTTCCACAGGCTAGCATTGGGCATGTACCCTGCCCACTCTTCTCCTTCTTCATGAGGCTTCCCCAGGCCATCAAACTCCTCCCCCACCCTCCCTTCTGAAGCTTCTAGAAGCTCAAAGCTAAGGCTCTATATAACAAGGTGATTAACGATTTAGGAGGAGTAAGAAGGGGTCCCCAGAAAGAGTAGAAAGTGCTAGGGGAGGGACAGGGAGGAGCTCTTCTACCCTGAGGACTAGGCTCTGACCCACTCTCCCCTACCCTGGCCCTCTCTTCCTACCCAGCCCCCTCTTTGTCCCATCCCCCTGCTATCCTGGAAACAAACCAGCCCTATCTCATGGGGAGAGATGTCTGGCTACCCTCCAAGAAACAAGAGGGTGGGGAATGGCTCAAGGCCCAGCAGGGAAGGGAGCTGGCCTGATGGGAAGGGGCTGAGAGTCAGGGAGCCCCATCCACCCAAGAACCGTCCTCAGGTCCCAAATACAAAATAGCTCAGGGCCTGCCTCCTGTTGCAGGGTGGCCAGGGACCACAGCTGGGTTACAAAGGACCCTTGGTGGGAGAGAGGCCAAGGCCAGCTCAGGCCAGCAAGAGGATCACTTACTTGCCAAAAGGCAAGAAAGCCCCCTGTAGGGCTTCACATGGTCCAGGCTATCCCCAACAAAACTGCCAGCATCTGAATGCCCTAGAGGTCAGCTGTCACCTTCCTGTTTCTAGAAAGAGAGACTCTGTTGATGTCAGGCCCACAGCAAAGAGACCTGCAGTTCCAGAGTCTCTGCCCCTATCACTAACAGCAGGCCCTGGGAGCTAGAGTACTCCCACCCTGGACTGCCTGGAGACAAACAGCAGCCCACGAAGGAGCTCAGGGCAGCTAGAATAGGGCAGTGAGCCATTGCCCCCACAGAGACAGGCGCCATGGCCTCAGTCTCAAGCTTCCTAAAGCCTCTTTCCCAGAGCGTTCAGCAGTTCCGCTGGGGAAGGTACACACCTTGACTGCCCTGGCCTTAGCACTGGCTGAGCAAACCATGCAGCCCCAGGGGCTTCTAGGATAAAACTGGAACAGGGAGAGCCGAGCACAGTGTGCAGGGAGGGCCAGTCAGGGTGGGCAATCAACCATGCATGTTGCCTCTGTCCAGGACTGCCTACAGAGGATCGGGAACTTTCTGTGGACACACTCCAGTATCGCCTCCACCCTGACCTGCACCAGCCTGGCCCTCACGGTAGCCACCAGTTCCTTCCTTGGCCTCCTTCTATCCCGTCCTGCCTTGCTGCTTCCCAGACAGGAGCAGTCCTGGGTCACTGCCTCAGACCAACACTCTAATCATGGCACTGCCAGGATCTTCCAGGCCCATTCAGCAGGGAGGAGCCAGCCCCTGACCCAGGGAGGTGGTCTGGTGTCTGTCTCATGCCCTTCATTTCACAGTCCTGCGAACTTCCCGGGAAGTGGTAAGGCTCTGCCATCAGGACTGTTGGTGGCTGCTGACGCCTGGGCATCTCTCCTGATTGTTCCAGGTATACGCTATGATGCTCTGCGCCTTCCTGTGGTTTGCCATTCACTCCTACTGTGGCTTGGATCGCAAAGGCAGATATACCCTGACCCCACGGTAGGCCCCTCTCTCTCTAGAAGAATCTTACAGCACCACAGGGTCCCAGTGTATCTATGTCTCCCATGGCAGATATGTTGTTACCCGTGCCCAATCCGGCAGGTATGGCCTCTGTAGGAAACCCTTTGGAAGTGTGGGGTGACGACATGCCCTCTTCTACTCTGCCTATTTCCAGTCTCTGATGAGACCTGCCATCACCCTGCCACCAACACAGAGATAGGAAGCCCTGCCTCCCCACCCCCTGCTGCCCAAAGTCATGGTTCCCAGGCCAGGATAACTGGTCTTAAGGAACCCCAGGAGTCCTCATTGACAGAATCAGGAAGGACCCAGTCCCAGCAGCCAGGAAAACCCTTCTGTTCCCGGAATACTTAGACCTCCTGTCAGCAAGCTCCATCCACCCGCACACCCAGCGCTCTGACATCTGGATTCCTACACCCGGCATCTGCACTGGCCCTCTACGTTCTGAAAATAGCCACGCCATTGCCTCCAGAGCACTCTGGGGCATATTTATAAATGTTCGGATGTGCACACAAATGAGTTGTGTAGAGGCTGGAGGGCAATACCAGTTGTCATCCTCAGGAATGCTGTCCTGCTCTGACAGAGTCTCTCCCTGGCCTGGAGCTCACCAACTAAACTAGACTAGCTGGTTAAAGAGCCCTGAGAGCCTCTGTCTCTACCTCCCAATACTGGGATTACAAGCATGCACCACCACACCTGGCATTTTTAGGGTTTTAGGAATCAAACTCAGGTCCTTGTGCTTGCAAACCATTTTTTATATTTATGCATCTATAATTTATTTAATTGGCAGGAGGAGGGGCGTGTGTACATTCCACTGACTGAATTATACCCCAGTTCTTCTTATAGTACCTTCTAGAACATTCTGAAACAGCCTCACCACCACCATTCTGGGATGAACTTGCAGTCCCTTCTAGAATGTTCTGCAGCAGCCTCTTAGTCCCTATAGAATATTCTGGAACAGATCCCCAGGTCTTTCTAAAACATGTGGAACAACTTCACTGTCCCCTTTTGTTTCTCAGAGCCCATGGCTGCCAGCCCCAGGAACCCAGCCTCTTCAGATGGACCAAGGATGGAGTGCCTCAATGCCCTTCTGAAGCATAAACATTTGCCAACTATTCGACATCCCTCTGAAGCATGGGTATTTGCTGATCATCGGGTCTAATAGGATGCCTGTTGCCTACTTGCCCACAGAGATGAAGACGTTGGCCCTGAGCCCTCCATGATCCACGTGGTGGGGCAAGGGAAGGGGAGGAGATTCTATCAGGTGTGTTAGTTACTTTTACATTGTTGTGGCCAGACACCTACCAGAAACAGAAAGGATTTACTCTGGCTCGTGGTTCCAGAAAGATTCTGGTCCATCACAACAGGGAAGGCATGGAGGGGTGGCTGTGTCTATGGCAGCAGGATCAGAGGGTGGCAAATGCGGGAGGCTGGATGTTAAGCTAACTTGCTCTGGGTCATTGAGGAGCAAAGGTGACTTTGGCTCTGTAGTCCTGATAACAAAATACGCAGAACCACATGGCAATAGCCAGGTTTTTTAAAAAATGGCCATGGGTCTGTTAATGTTCCTTAGTTTAGGGAGAAGAGGGCACCATACCCTCACCTGCGATTCCAACTACTGCTCCCTCCTGCCAAGGAAGTGTTTGGATCTTGAGAGATGCCGGAGTGTGAAAAGTTACCTGAAGACAGGTCTCCATGATCCAGCATCCATGAGGTCATCACCCATCATGGTGGGGCTTTGTGGGGATGATACCGTTTGGGGGTCACCCACACTCCCTATATCCCAAGAAACCCATTGATTCAGGTTGAAACTTGGGTAGAATCTTTTCCATGCCCCACTTGGGGTGACCAGTTTCCTGTTCATGTTTCCCAGAGAAAAGTAATAGCAGAGAACAGGTAGAGTGGAACCAGGGGTAGTGGCTTAGGGTTTCTATTGCTATGAAGAGACACCATGACCACGGTGACTCTTATAAAGGAAAGCATTTAATTGGGGCCGACTTACAGTTCAGAGGTTTAGTCCATTATCACCATGCTGGGAAGCATGACATCATGCAGGCAGGCATGGTGTTGGAGTGGTAGCTAGAAAGGTCTACATTTGGATTGGCAGGCAGCAGGAAGAGAGGGTGCCACTGGGCCTGGCTTGAGCATCTGAAACCTCAAAGTCAGCCTCCAGTGACACGTTTCTTCCAATAAGGCCACACCTCCTAATAGTGCCACTCCCTATAAGCCCACAGGGCCATTTCCATTCAAATGACCTAAGACAGGTATAACCTTCAAAAGCCCACCCTTAGTGACCTACTTCTGCTAACCAGACTCCAAGTCCTACAGGCTCCACAATAGCACCAGAAGCTGAGGATAGAACATTCAGAAGATGAGACTGTGGAAGAGGTTTCAGAGCAAACCCATGACACAGGGCAAACATACATGAACCTGTGGAAAACACCAGATGACAACTATGACATCAGGTAAACAGCTCCATGGGGAACAGACAGAAACACTAGGGTGATCTGATGAGTCTGTGGAACAGGCAGAATAGGTAAGCACGGAGGAAACCAGCACAGGGCAGGCCAGGAGCCCTGGTCAGATGTCGTCCTGCACCTCCCATTTCCAAACACGGCTGTGTTCATGTCCTGTGCTGTGCAGCGAGGAGCATCAACCTGGCAGCAATGTCTCTGTCTGTCACTGTCACAAAATGCCTGAGGCAGTCAACTTAAAGGAAGAAAGGGAGAAAACCAGCTTAAACAAAGGGAGAAAAATCAACTTAAACCTGAAAAAGTCAACTTAATTTGACTCATGTTTTAAGAGGTCTCTGTCTACGGTCAACTGGCTTCATTGACTGGGGGCCCCGAATGAGGCAGAACACAGCAGGGATGTGTACCATGGAGTAAAGTTAACACCCGTGGTGGCCAGGAAGCAGAGAGGAGGGCCAAAGACAAAGAAAACCCTCTTCAGAGGCACCACCCAGGAACCTCTTCCTCAAAGGAAGCCTCATCTTCTAGCTTCCGTTTTAAAATGTCATTAAATTATAACCCCCTTCATGAATTAATCACTTCCCAGAGCCCAGAGACTGAGAACTGCTCTGGGGACCACGCCTGTGGGGTGTGTGTGTGTGTGTGTGTGTGTGTGTGTGTGTCCGTGTCCTCACAACAGCAACCTGAAGGAGCAGCAGGTTGTGGATCAGAGCCCAGATGTGGGCAGGTCCTTTACCTAACCTCTCATGAGGCAGGTTTGCTGGGCCCTACTCAGAGGCTTCTAGAAGCTCCCCCATCTGGGCTCACTCTGGCTGCTGGAAGAACCTAATTTATTGCAGCTGTGGGCTTGTGGGCCCTCTCTCCTTAGTGGCTGCCAGCTAGGACAACTTCCTGCTCTGTGAATTTGGTTCGCTCCCCTCCTCCAGCTCCTTCTACAGACCCTAGCACAAGCTGAGCCTCCCTTGTGCTATGCAGTCTCTGGCTTCCACCAGCTGGTGAAGCTCTTTGCTTTAAGGGCCACATGATGATCTTGTCTGAACAAGAATTCTTTCTTCTAATCCTGGTAAAATGCACTGTGCCTGACACTGGCCATTTGACCACGTTCAAGTGCACAGCTCAGCAGAATTAACATCCACCCACACCATCTGCCTCCAGAACTTTCCATTTTCCCAGACTGAAACTCTGTCCCCATTCAACGCTGACTCCCTGCTCCCTCCCCAGCTCCTGGCTCCCTGTCCTGCTTGCTGCCTCTTTTGATTTGGTGAGCATAAGGCCCTCCTGGGCATGGCTATCTCACCACATGGTTCCTCTGTGTTGCACAGTGAGGGAGACATCTTACCATGCTTACCATGATCTCATAATCATCTGCTGGGGGACTGTGACAGAGCAAGTTGGGCCACGTAATCTAAAGCTCCTGCCTCCTGTAGCCACCATCACATGACAATGCAGCCACCTTTATGGAGAATTATCACCTGCTCTTGAATATTCACATAATTTGTGCACGCTGCTAAGTCCCAAGGAGATACACTGACCCAGCCAAGGCTGAGACGCCAAATGCAGCCTAAGAGAACATAAGGGATGTGACCCTGACTCACACCCAAACCCAGAAAGTGAGAGTCTCCCCGCCCAAATCAGAATCACTCTGCAATTGGTCACCAACACATGGGGAAAGCCTGTTAAACCCCACCTTGTGTTTCGGATGCACACACTCCCTCCTTCCCACACATCCATTTCCTCAAATAAGAGGAATTAAGCACCCCACATCTGAAAACACACAAGGTTTTCTCCCTAGGGAGATTCCCCCAATGTCATAAGCATTTAGTTTCCCGAGACAGAAAGTGCAGGGTCTCTGGTGCAAGCAACTTCTTTGGTTCTGTTCTTGCCACCTCACTCTACTTTATAAGAAGTCAGCACTAAAGAAAGCACAGATATTCAGGATGTTCTAGTTTGGTGATTAAACACTGACCAAAACCAATCTGGGGAGGATAGGGTTTATTTGGCTTATACTTCCAGGTAATGGTCCATCATTAATGAAAGCCAACTCAGAAACTCAAGCAGGACAGGAACCTGGAGGTGGGGACTCAAACAGAGACCACATAGTAACATCGCTTACTAGTTAGCATACTTTCTTTTACAACCCAGGGTAGCACTGCCCACAGTGGGCTGGACCCTCCCACATCATCATCAATCAAGACAACGCCCCACAGACTTGCCTACAGGGTAATCTGATGAAAACAATTCCTCAGTTGAAATTCCCTCTTCCCAGATATGTCGAGGTTTGTGTAAAGTTGGCAAAAAAACTAACCAACACACAAGGCAAGGTCCAGCACTCAAAGAGGCAGAGAAGGGGATTGTGAGTTTGAGGCTAACATGAACTAAATAGAAAGACTCTGTTTCAACAAAAACAACAACATAAAAGAAGGGGGGGGGGGAAAGGAAAGGCAGAAGTAAGGAGGAAAGGAGAAAGGATCCCATACACAATGGCGGTGGGAAGATGGCAAATAAAGAAGAAAAGTAAGATCTAGAGTCTGTGAAATGTACACAATGCAGCACACACACAAAAAAATCCACCAGATGCTGTAAGAGAACGATCATCCCTGCAGCTGTGTGTGGCTCTAAATATCCATGGTTTGTCCTGTTTTCCCAGCTCTTCATCCCTGGGAGAATCTCTTCCTGACTCCTGCTGCCGCTTCTTCCATCACTAACAGGGTGGAGTAAGAGAGCTCAGACCACCAGAGCCTGCCTAGAATGGGCATCATTATCCTGTTTCTTCATTTGAACACCACTCACTCAGCACCCTTTAGGGTCTCTTAACCCAGCAGAAGAGATGTCTGAAGTAGCCAGGTGCCACCACAGTTTCTAGCTCTGCAGAGAGAACACTGTTCTCTGACCAGAGAGTTCCCGTTGGCTACTGAGAGCTTCGACCCAGTGCAACGCCTTTGAAGGCACGAGGCAGAACTTCTAGGATGGTTCATCAGCTATTATAAGAAGTGGTGCCCCCACACCCATCCCTCAGGCTTCCGACCTAGGGGCTCTGGTTTGGGGAAAGCAGCACCACACTGGTTACACGTACCACATGCCACAGGGGGCTACACAGTTTTGCAATGGAATCTCCCAATGTGATCTTAAATGATACTTGAGAAGCAACCCACATTTCCACAAAATGTCCCTGATCACCAGCTGAATAGCAACTTCAGTGAATCCAGGGCAGCCTCCCCATGATCTTCTGCCTTTGGCTCTAAGGTTAGTCCCTTAACCAGAAACAATTATAAGGGTTGGATGCAGTTAAACTGAAATTTAATGTTAAGTGTCAAAGTTTGATCTCCATTGTAAGGATTAAAAGGATACAAACTTAATCCGACAGTGGTGTTCAGAAACAGGCCCTCTAAGAACAAAGAGAAATAAATACATGCAGGCCTACTCGCTTGGTTGCTCTCAGCTAACTTCATCCTTCCTATTACTGCTCTGGACCATTTGCCTATGGAATGGTATTGACTACAGTGGGCTGGGGCTTTCCGAATCAATTAAAAATTGCGACAATTCCTCCACAGTCAGCCCCACAGGCCAAGTTGATCTGATAATAGGCTCACAAGAATAAGGCCCCACAAATTTCTTCATGGCTTTACACTCATTCTGTCGCTTGCCATGGGGATGCCCTTTATTGCCCCAGGACTCTGAAACAAGGAAGCCATCACCGGCGGAAAGCCCCTTTACCTTGCCCTTTCAGAAGCATGAACAAAATAAAAATTGCAAGAGCATCTTGCCTCAGGTATTTCATGATGACAATGAAATGCCGACTAATATAGAGAGCTGGTCCCAACAGATAGATCTCATTAGAAAAGGGTAATGGAAGAGATAGTTATGGATGGATGTGGGGAGCCGGAACAGAAGGATCAAGTGCTGATGGGGAGGAGAGGATGGGACAAAGGAGAGGATATGGAAAGAGACATAACTAAACTTAAGGCCCATTTGAGAGGTCACATGATACAGTAGAAGTATATATATATATATACTTCTATATATATATGAAGGCAATCTAAAGGAAACCATCAAATAATGGGGACAGACAGAGTCCTAACTGCTCATCCCTTGCCACCAAATGAAACTTCCAGTCAGGAATTGATTTACATCTAACTGAGTTGTTGGCCAAAAGGGTCTCGTGGGTATCCCCAAACAACCCAGGGGTTGTTGCCAGAACAATAGGTTGTTCTACACAAACTTGGGACAATAAGGCCCCACTGCTGAAGACAACACCTACACAACTCATGGAACATGAGGAAATTAAGCTGGCGCCTATATAAAGCCTCGACTTCTACATTCTAGCGTCTTTGGGACAGGTAGGTACTCTGCACACTAGCAAGAGAAAAACATAAACAGCAACATAGCTACAAACCCTTTGATCTACAGTAGGACTACCTGCAAGATACGCTAGGGCAATGGTGGCATAAAGTTTGTAATCAACCAATACCTGATTTGACTTAATGTTGGAACCCAAACCCAACACTGCTTGGGTGGTCAAGAACCTGAAACTAGATAACCCAGGGACCTAAGGTAAAACAAAATACTACTGTTCCAAAAAAACAAACAAACAACAGAAAATTAGCAATAAAATGACTCCTAGTGACATTCTGCTATACTCATGGGCCAGTGCCTTGCTCAGCCATTATCAGAGAAGCTTTCCCCTACAGCGGATGGGAACAAACCCACAGCCATACAGTCATACAGAGAGTGAGAGACATTGAACACTCAGTCCTAAATGGGATCAAACCCCTCATCCTCAGGGGCCAGGGAACCCACAAAAGATGAAGTGGAAAGAGTGTGAGAGCCAGAGGGGATGGAGGACACCAAAGAAACAAGGCCCTCTAAGCCAACAAGAGCAAAGAACATTCGCACTCTCAGAGACTGAAGCTGTGTTCACAGGATCTGCTTGGGCCAGCACCAGGTCCTCTGTGGTTATATTACGGCTTCCAGTTTAGTGTTTTTATCAGATTCCTGAGTGTGCAAATGAGCGAGTCTCTGATTCTTGTGCCTACTCTTGGACTCTTTTTTCTTCTCTTCGTTTATCTTGTCCAACCCCAATGTGCCAGCTTTTGTTTTCTCTTATTATATTTTATTTTGTTATATTTTTACCATTATCCCCTAGAAGACTGTTTATTTTCTAATGAGAGACAGAAGGGGGGTAGATCTGGATGGGAGAGGGGTCAGAAGGAACTGGGAGTAGGAGAGGAAGGAAACAAAATCAGGATATATTATGTGAGGAAAAATATCTATTTTCAATAGAAGAAAAAAAAATAATTTTAAATAAATAAAAGTTTTGCAGAAAGAACAAACAAATGAGCACTGGTACCAAGAGTCTCACCATTAGAAGTTTACCAGTAGAACTGGGAAGCTGGCAGAGGAAGGGAGAGTTTGAGGAAGCAGTTATCAAGTGACTAAACTGTGCTGGGGTGATGGCTAAGTGGTTAATAGGACTTTCTGCTTCTGCAGCCACACCAGACAGATCACAACTAACCATGCCTAACTTCAGCTCTAGGGAACACAACTTCCTCTCTGGCCTTACATGTACATACTGACA